AGTACTGGGGATTGAACTCACAACTGCCTGCTTGCAAGGCAGGTGCTTATGCCACGGAGCTAAATCCCCAGCCCACTACTGCTTTCTTAATCCAGGTGGCAATCACCACCTCTCTCCATTTAGTGACACTTGCTGTCTATAAACAGCAAGTCCTCTTTGGGTGACATTCTGAGAACAGATGATCCATTGTTGTAATATCCACTGATGATTTTTGCTTGAATCCACCAATTACTGTGTGGGATGGAAAAATAGGAATTTTCTAAGTTTGCTGTTCTTTCTCCCTAATTATTTGGTATTCTTATCCAAAGAAAGAAATATTTTCCTTATTTGCCTCTATTCATTTTCTCCTTGATTTTTTTAAGTACTGTTACTGACATAAACTTTTTTAAAAACAAATTTAATGTTTTGTAATCCACCACTGTCACTATTCTTTTCTGATCTTTTATGTGCCAAAATTGACCAGTGAGAACCCACTCAACCCAACTTCTTTATCTTTTTCACACTAATCCACTAGGATTTGAGCATCTCAAATATCAGTGGATTACCTTAAAATTTCTTTACCTTGCACCTACAATTGGTTATTTTTCTAAGATTTTACTATGGAGTAATAGAAGTCAAGGTCTGGTCATAGGATGTAATTATTGATAATGAATTTGGAAGGAAATATTTCATCTTGGCATTTACAACATTTTATAGCACAGAGCTAGCTACAAACATGCCCCCACACTTAATCTCACATATTTTTATCTTTTCAATTTTATTGCTGCCTAGTATTTCATTGATGGATGTATAACACTTGATTTATCCATTTACTCACTGAAGTATATTTGGGTTGCTTCTAGTTTCTATCTAATACAAATACAACTTGTATGAACGCTTGTGTACAAGTCTGTGTTTGAACAATTTTATGCTTTTTCTCTTAAGTGAGCAGCAAGAAGTGCAAATGCTGGATTGTGTGTGATGTGTATGCTTAATGCTTCAAGAAACCATTAGTTTTCCAATATGTTTATATGATTTATATTCCTTCAGTAATGTATGTGAGTTCTAGCTCCTCCACATCCTTGCCAACACTTGTTTTGATCCATATTTTTTAAACTTTTACTCATTCTAATAGGTACAATTATGATTTTAATTTGCATTACTCTCCAGAATAACAATGTTGAATCACTTCTCATGAATCACTAGTTCTTTGGTGAAATGTGAATTTAAATGCTTTGCCCATGCTTTTCACAGTTTGTTTTCTTATTATGAGTTTTGTTATGTTCATACCCTTGTTTCACATGCATAGTTAAACTAAACACTGCTAATGCTAATCAATGGCTCTCATCCAGTATTTAACAAAGTTTTTACCTTGCCTTCTTACTTTTGTTAAGAATTTTAGTTCTACTTTGTTTGTATTTTTCCTTTTTTCTTCTCTCACTACCCACCCATCTCCTCAGATCTCTGTTCTACTCTTTTGGAACTCTACTCAGAAACGTTTGGCAGTTTTCATGTATCCTGCATGTCTCTTAATTGCTTATTCATGTTTTCTGTTTCTTTATGACTCTGCTGCTTTCTGAGACATTTCCTCTCATCTTATCCATGTTTATCTGTGGCAGGGCAATAATTTTTCCTATCTTTCAAGTTTTTAATTTTGATGTCACCATTTTCCATTCTGGTCTATATTGGTTTTTTTTTTTTTTTTTTCACATTCAGGTATCTTTTTCTTAGCATTAAGGTCTTTCATTATAGCTTCTGGACCTTGTTATTTCATTACAGATGTATTATATAATCACTTTCATATTGTTCTTTTTACCTGTAGTTCATCTATTTGTTCTCTTTGATCCTTTTTATATATTTTGCTTGTAGTGCATCTATTTGTCTCTGTACATATGGTGCTAATTTTCTCATATGGAGATGAAACTCAGGCCCTTGTATATGCCAAGTGCTCTACACTGTAGCAAGAGCTATGCCCCCAGCTTCTGTTTCTTTAGGTTCTGGTGACTCATTTTTTGCTGATTTATCTTCTCTGAGTGTTGTTTTCTCTGTGCTAAGTCCATATAACCAGGTTGAGAAATTGTCTCTGGTTTTGATTCTGGAAAGATCCCAGGGAATCCTGAAATAATATATTTTCTTATGGCTCCCATATGGTATAGGCAATACAAACTTGTATACTATATCTGGCCTAGATTTAGGGTCTGATTCTCCTAAATGTTTTTTTATTTCTTTTTACTTGAAGAAGAACACGGACTTCTTTGTGGTTTCTGTGGTTCAGGGACTGAGACCTTTGACTGGTAGTGATAGCTCTTAGAGGATTCAGTCTCTATGAAGACATCCCTGGTGCAACTTCTCTGCAAGCCATAGCTCAGACCTAAGTCTTCAGCTCATGTGTGAATACTGGAATCTCAGTCTGAAGCTCTTGGTGTTTCTGTCCATTGGAATTTTAGGAAGCTCCAATTTTACACTTTTCCTTACTTGCATTCTGAATCAATTTACAGATAGATGCTAAAGCCAGCAGTGGATCAGCATTTCACTTTATTCCAATAAAGCTTTTTAAAGAACAGGGCTTAGGTCTTTGTCAACAACAGAATTACAACACTCTGCCTATATGGTTCTGGTTGGGAATTCTGTGTCCATGACTACTCTATAATGTAAGACAGATGAAGGCATACGTATTTATAAGTGGACTGGTGTCAAAAAGGATCTTAAAAGGAGCTGATCCAGATATGACTAATGGCCCCTTTATCAACACTAATCAATCACTTAAATCGTCCTTCTTCTGAGGAGCTCAGTGTATGAATGAGACCAAACAGTTTTCTCTAACGGAAGTTTCTCCAAGAAAAAACGTGGGATGGTGGTGATGGAGTCATTTACTCTAAAAAATCCAGGTGCTTGTGCCACTGGTTTTCGTTCTTTCTTTATTTTCTGAAATCTGCAGTGTACCTTTCTATTTTAAGCTATGAGATGAAATATCCCCCTAAAGGGAGGTCTACTGTTGAAAGTTTGGTTCCTAACCAGCAGTGTTCAGAGTTGGAACTTTTGGAAGGTGACTGGGTCATAAAAGCTCTAACATCATCAGTGTGGATTAATCCATCCATGGATTCACAATTCCATGGCATTAATGGAGGTGATGGAAGCAGAAGTCTGGCTTTGGTGAAGGGAGTATAACCCAGAGCTGTGCCCTTGGGGACTACATCTTGCCCCTGCTTCTTTCCTCTCTAGCTCTTTCTGCTCCTTTCTTCCTGGATGTCCTGAGGTAGGCGGCCTGCCCCTGCCACACCTCATCGGTGGCAAGTCGAAAAGCAGACTCACCTGACCATGGACTGAAACCTCAGATGCTGTGAGCCAAAATAAATCTTCCCATTTTAGGTTTCTTTTCTAAGATATTCCATCACAGGATAGAAAATCAACTAACACCTGAACATTTTCTCCAGCTATACTTAAGGCTAGGAGCTTTGGTTGCCATGTGGAGAGAAGCTCATCAAAAATGTTTTTGTTTGTTTTTTAATGAAAGAAATAGGCTGGCCTATTAAGGCAAATATCCAAGAAGAAAGCTTTCCTAAATCGTTTCTAGATCTTTCAGACTGCAGAAAAATTTTAAAAAGCTACTTCTTTATTCTGTCCTTCACTAACTATCATAAAATATACAGGATTGTAAATTTCAACATATCCAAGTACACATACATTTTTGTCCTGAAATTTATACACACTTTTAAACATATGCAATAGAGACAACTTGAATTTTCTGCCTTATATCTTTAATCTTGCACTTAATCTCAGGCCTATTATCCTCTATTGTTACATGGTGATAAAGCCACAGTTTCATCACAGCTTAGCTTCATAATGGATCTCTTGAGACTGTTTGGAAATACACCTAATGATTGCATTGTAAGTTGCTTTCTTAAGAAATGAACTGTAGTTTAATAAGCATTTACTAAGAAGAGAAAAGTTACCGGCATTATAAAAAACAGTAGAAAAGAATCTCTCTAATCTTTTGTGCATTTAGACCTGGAAAATCCCACTTCTCTTCTTCCACCCTCTACAACAAAACAGAAGCAGAATGGAATGAAGTAAAACAGTAACTTATCTCTGCTGTGTTAATGCAAACTGCCAAATGGGATTGTGTGTCTCTTCTTGTAGAGTGGCATAGACTGAATATCTCATTAATGTTCTTTCAGAAAGAGGGGTGTTTTAATATAGAATCATAAAGCAAACCAAATTTCTCATTGATCATTTAGTTTAATGGGTGCAGTGCAGACTGATTCTATATCTAATCACCTCAACCATAGCATAACTCTCGACCATTTCACAGATTAGGAAATAAGGGTCTCCCGAGTTTATTGACCCTCATGTGGCACGGCATCACTTTGATGTTTATAAACTACCTACCTTTAAAAAAAAAATCTAGGTATCATTTTCTGAAGAGAATACCCAAGAGACTTCAAAAGGTCGAGCTGCACAAAGATCTAAATTGTGCCAGCTGCAGGAGTCCTGCACAACACCTTTCAGATCTTGTTTTTACCCTTCAGTGTGGCGAATAATCTTGTAGATCTGTTAGGGATTGGATTTTTGAACCAATTTTGTACGTTGGCCTTCTGATGAATCCCATAGAACTCTTTTTGGAGTCAGGCTTTTAAATGCATAGTAGGAAGAAGAAAAATTTTACTACACTATAGTTCCACAATCTGAGTCTCGAGATTTTTAAGCTATTGTGCTCTGCCCTTCTCCTGGCCCAAGTCTACCAAAGACTCTTTACATTCTACAAGGTTTGAAGTACAAGACAGCAGAATAGAACGGGCTCCTGAGGAAGTCTTTCCGAATTGAAGTCTGTGTCTTCCTCTTTTCTTCCCCCTGTACATCCCCACTTCCCGCTAGTCGCTTTTTCCTTCTCCTGACCAACTTTTATTTAGTTTTGCCTTTTCCATCTTCCCTGCGCCTGCTCAACTCAGCCTCTCCCACCTCCAGGCCCCGCCTTCCGCTGAAGCCCCGCCTTCTCCCCGTTCCCTGCCAATCACGCCGAGGCCATCTGGTCACCGCCCCCAAGCTCAAGCGGAGGTCTTAGCTGTCTGCACTCAGGGCACAGGGACTCAGGGTGAGACAGGATGGACCCTGTGGCGGGCTGCTTCGCGGAGGAGCAGTTCCGGGAGATCTGCGCCGAGCTGCAGCAGCCGGCTCCAGCTGGGGCTGAGTGGGAGCTGCTGGTGAATGCCTCGGGCGTCAGGATCTACCGGCTGCTGGACCAGGTAAGTGCCAGCCGGTGCAGGGCCGCGGAGTCACCGTCCCAGCGGGGAGGGGCTCCGTGGAGCGCAGGCGCGGGGCCTCCGAGTGACTTTGCCCCCGCAGATGCTGGGGCGTTGAGAGGTCACAAGACCTCAGTCCCAAGCCAGGCCCCGATCCGGAAGTAGTTTGGTAGAAGTTAGTGACACAGTTAAAACGTGGGTCTGCGGATTCCTGAGCTCCCACTCTCGGTGCAAGGGGCGCGGGTCTCCTTCTCCCTAAAGGTGTGGAGGTGCAAGAGAGGGGACATCACGGAAGAGATGTGCAGGCGTGCCCAGAAGGGACTTTCTGTAATCTCTAGTCATTTTAGTGACTTGCTTGTCTTGGCTTTCCAAGTTGCACTGAATAACTTGCTTCTGAAGCTTCAAACAGAAAGATTAACCAAAGTGGAGGGGGAATGGAGTTGCTCAATAAGCAATTCTGCGGTTTTCCTGGAGGCTTTAGGAACCAGGTAGCCCGTCCAGATGGGAGGGGTACACCCCACGCCCAGAGGCCTGTCACCCAGGGTGGTCATCGGCAGCTCTGTGAGATTATAGATGTGTGGGTACTGGGCAGGTTAAAAGTCACCAGGTGACATAAGTGAAAGGAAGTTTCTTGGCAGAGGATCAGCTTATTAAGAATGCTAGAGCTGGGAGGATCCCTGATCCCTCACCTGGTTGACCTCAAGTTCACAGCTGGGTGAAACAACTCTGGGAGGAAGCTGTTGGCAAAGGACCCAGTTAAGCTCCTAGCAGAGCTGGGGTCCAGGACCCCGAGAATATTAGAAAGGGGCTGCTTTTTAAAGCAGTTGCATTTTAATGTACATCAAATACAATATTTTTATATTTCAAGACAAAATAAGCATTTGTGATAGTTAGGAGTTTGCTCATCTGTGGAATAGGAATGAAAACCAGGGTATGCCTTTCATGGAGTTTGTTAGGAGATAAAAGTTAAATTCTCCAGATGTGTAAAAGTCTTCTTTGAGAGAGGTACACCATTCAGCAATGCGCAGGACAGCTCCTTACAACAAAGAATTATCCAGCGCAAAAGTAGAACATGGTCAAGGCTGAGAAGCTCTAAATAGGGGATATTAGTATTCAGGAAGGAACTTCCTCTCTTCAGCATGCACGTGCTCTTTGCTCTGAAGATAGGGCATCCCTGTCCAGTTATGGGGTCCTAGAATATGATAGCTCGAATCCTTATAGATTAATGGGATTGAGTCACTTATAATCCTGGACAAAGCAGACATTGGAGGTGGGGGAACTTTCTTATTTTTTTTTTTTCTATTATGAATTACATTTTGCTTAGCATCCTTAACCTGACTGTCAGTGTGAAATTCTGCTCTAGATTCCTACCACTTGAAGAACATTAATCTGGTGATGATAATTATCAGCCTAAGGATACTTAAAAATTTCGAGGACCTAAAGAAGGTCTAGCAGTCATTCTGTATTTTCACCCATTCTTCCCCAATGCATCTAGAGGAAGACATGTCCCTCTGCTGGGTTTGTGTCCCATGAGGATGACAGACTCTGAAAGCCCGCTGTACACCAGGACCATTGATGAACAAAAAGCTTGCAGCCTGGAGCAGACACAACTTATTTCTATGAAACTTTAACGTGCACATCAGTCAAAATCACATGTTCAGTCAAAATCTCCTCTCTCATGATTCCATCTCCTACCAGCATCATCAGTGCATTGCCAGAAATCGATTTGGACTGCTCAGAAATCCATTTCTTCCCCTCTGCCGCTTCGGTTTCTCAGCACCTCTTACCTAAAATTGCAGCAACTTGTTAACTAGTTTCTTGGCTTTTCACCTCTTTGTTTGCCTACATTCTACACATCAAGCATCTAAGAGGAAGATTGTGATCTTATCTCTGCTCTTTGACTGGTATGATTGATTGCAGAATTGGTAACAGTCATTGTGTCACTAATGTTTGTCCATGCTTCCTGATAATCCAAGCATGGATGCTTTGCAGATACTGACTTACTCAATCCTCACATCAGCCCAATGATGGAGTACCGTAATTGCCACCTTTTTACCTATAGGCAAATGTGTGCGGGAACAGTTAAGGTGGGTGATCAAGATTTGAACTGGGGTCAGAACCCAGGTGTCCAGCTCTCGAGCCTTTCTGAACTGAAGCCAAATGATCCCTGATTGAAAGGCAGAGCTGCTGAGCTCTCAACCCTGCCTTCTAGCTATGACTCTGCTCCTGTTTGCTGGCACCATCTTCTCTTTGTACAGATGAGGAAACTGGGGTTCAGGGAAGATAAGTGACACATTGAAAGTGTGAGATTGAGAGGTGTTGAGAAAGTCCCTATACTCCCCGCTCTTTCACATGCAGACTAATGAAGCTTCCTATATGAAAGGGACCATCTTAGGAAGACTAGGTTCTTCCTTACTGGGAATACAAGAATCCCATTGATTTATATAATTTATTCAGCCTTTATTGAGGGTCACCAACGGGTAAAACTCTGTGTTATGAATTTAAGGTGGTGTGGCTTCCCTTAAGAGTCTGGTGATCATAAAGAAGCAATAAGCCTTGGTTGGACTGATGGACTTTGAGACCAAGGTAGCATTGATGGCTCCTCACTTAGCCTGCTGCACTCAGCAGCAGGTGTGCTTAGCCAAGCAGAGGCTGCTCAGCTCTTGAGGGCTCCTTATTTAAGATCTTGAAACAAGGATGCAGAAAACAAAAAGGGAACAAACAAAAACCAACAGTGAGATACCTGAATGAGGGAGTAACAGAGCTGCAATGACATGTTCTGAAAACATGAGAGCACCTGAAAGAATTCAAAATAGCAAGTAAATTATACCTTAAAAACGTAAAACTGTGTCCTTTTTTCCAGTAGACATAAACAAATCTGAATCCTACTTTTGGATAGATGGATACTTCTGATGTACAAAGCTTTGGGATTTTTTTTTTTTTTTGTCTTTTTATTAAATCATAAACTTGGAGATGTGAGCAGTTTCTTGTTTTCTTTTTTTTTTTTTTTTTTTTTTTGGTATTGGGAATCGAACTCATAACCGTCGTGCTTACCAAGGAGATACTGTGCTGCTGAGCTATATTCTTGGGCAGACGTAAGAAGTTTCTAAGGCTTCTACCCAACACCATCATCTTTTCTTTCACTTCTTTTTTGTTCTTCGCTTACTCTGTTTTCCTTCTCTTTTGTCCTGCCCAAGTCTGGAAAACAGGGATGTGCTTAGTGTCCTGTTTTGCAGATGAAACTAAGATGTGGAATTTTTAAACAAGCCATGTGGCCCTCAGACCTAGTAACCAGCATGTACCTATCTATTTTGATCAACTTACTACCAAATATACAGCTTGCCTGGAGGAAAGAACACATTTTCTCTCCAAGGTTAAGTAGAACTAGTCCAAGCCTACGGTATGCTATTATAAGAAGGAAAATAATTTTGGAGTCAGAGAGTCTCAAGTTTAAAATCTCAGCTCCATTCAACTCTCATTCATTGATTCATTCAGTAGGTAGTAGCCCACTGACTTCTGTGTGTCTGTCTGTATGAGTTCTGGGGTCAGTGGTGAAGTCGGGGGACCCACATGCTGCTTCAGTGGCACTGTGTTTTGTTTTTTGAGACAGCATCATGCTGTGTAGTTCAGGCTATTCTTGAGCTCATTGTGCAGCGCAGGCTGGCTTCAAACTCACAGCGATTCTCCTGTCTCAGCCTCCTGAGTGCTGGGATTACAGGCGTGTACCACCACGTGATACTCATTGATGAGAATAAGCCCCCTAGTGCATGATGACATGTTGGATGAAAAAATGTTGTGTGTGAAGAAAATAAAGTGGGATAAGGGGAAGGAGAGAAGGCATGGCAGGGTAGCCAGGAGTGATGTGATGTGCTTCAGATAAGGAAATCTGAGGAACTCTAGGTTGCAGCATTTTGGTGGAGACGCAAGTAAAGTGTGAGATTGAATCACTCAGGAGAAGTACACTGGGTGATGGATTTCACACTCAAGAGCAGTGGAATGACTTGGGGAGTTGGTAAAGGACCAAGCCGTAGCCTAGGGATTCAAATTTAATTGGTCTAGGCTAGGGCTTTGGTGACCCCTTGGGAAGCTCTTTCTTCACATAGGATTAGGTTATTCTGTTTTTGCTGCTTCCGTGTGTGTTCAAAATTCTTCATAATAAAATGCTTTTAAATAGCAATAAAAGCATCGGAGCTTCCAAGAGGATTTCAGTGTGTGTGTTGGCATTAAAATCAGGAACAAGCCAAGCGCAGAGATGCAGTGTAATCCCAGCATGATGGGGGGCTGAGGCAGGAAAATGGCAAATTTGAGTCTAGTCTGGTGAATTAGGGAGACCTTGTCTCACAAAACAAAGCAAAACAGAACATCAAGATACAGAGTGGGCATGTAGCTCATCGTAAAAACCCAGCGTTCAAGCCTCAGTTCAACAACAGCTAAAGAACGTGCAGTGTTGGTCCTAGGGCCAGGCTGACTGTTTTTCAGGAAGCCAGCCAGCTGACACCACTGGGTGCCCGCTGAAGCCACAGTGCCAGAGGAGGGTGAGACTGGCCTACTTTTTCATTCAGGTCCTCATTTGCAGCACTTGGAGACTGAGACAGGAGGATCGCTGTGAGTTTGAGGCCAGCCTAGGTTATATAGTGAGTTCAAGGCCAGCCTGAACTGCATAGCGAGACCCTGTCTCAAAACAACAGCAACAGCAACAGCAAAAAGGCCCCCCAAATCTAACAATGATAACAGAAGAATAGTTCTGCTCTTTCAGAGTGCTTGGATTGTCTAACTGCCATGCTGTGCAGCAGAGTAGTTCTGACGTGAGCACACACTGGAATCATCCACAGGGTTAGACTTAGGGTTGAGTCCCTGCCCCCAGAGTTACTGATTCACTGGGCTGCATGTGGAGTCTTGAGATTTGCAGTGTGTGTGTGCGCGTACCTGTGTGCATGCATGTTGTGTGTGTGTTTCTCCTTTCACATTACACTGCTAACCAGCTGCTGAGTGATGTTGCCATT